ACTCATATGATGGTAAACCGAAAGTTTACCTTTGGTAAATCATTTATTTACTTGGTAAATCTTACTGGCAGCCTTTACCTTGGTTACATCATTGTTTGCCAATTGTTCATTCTTTCATGTGTGCTTTAGTCTTCCAATCTTCTTTCATTAGCAAGAACATTATACCAAGAGAACACCAATCAATGCCTATGTAAAATAATCTCAGACTTATTTCATGAATGCATATACTGAAGAAAAGATGGCTGAAGAGGAAGGAAGATGTGGCTCTTCTGTGTGGCCTTGGGCAAGTTATTTAACCTCTGTAACATATAGATAACAACCATAACAACTTAGACTACATGGTTATGGGCATATAAGAGCTAAGGATTAGAAAATACTTAGCTGTAAATGTCCTAAAATACTAACAATTTCTATTACAACTATACTGTTTCTTAATTTGTAGTCCAAGCTCATAGTGTTTCCTTATTCTTATGGGTAGTGAATCCACAATAGATTTTATACTGGACACTGTCTATTTTTAAAGGGCTTTTTGAAAGATTATATTTTTGGTTCTTGTTTTCTTAAGAAACATGGGGACAAATGCATATAGATCTTATTATTGTGAACAATGCAGCTTACCATGATAATTTAAATCCTTTGCAGTTACATAGGAGGAGAATAAAATTCTTGCCAAAAATGATGGGTCCAACCAACCATAATTATGTTAATTATATCCAACTGTCAGCAAAGAGATCAAAGGTGAAGTCTGTTCTTAGCTTCACAGAATGATAATGGTTATAAATAGTTATTCTTAGGTGCTAAAGTGTATTTTGCAATTGTAACTGACACCATTTGACTTTCACTTATTGTAAGCTAAATGATTTGTAATGTATTTTGCTATTTGAAGCAATGGATACTTTTAGCTCAGTAAAATTCATCATTATCCAGTGTGACCCACCTTCCTATTCACAATTTGCTCTAGTGCTTGAGAGCATTGTTGAACAAGAAACAAAGGACTTGGAGAAATATCTTCCTTGGAAAGCCCTAGGATTGCATATATTCTCCAGCTTTTCACATTTTAAGCACCTTTAAGTTTTACCACCTCTCTAATGCTTTCTTCAGTCTTTCTAGTACTGAACATTTACAGTATTCCAAGAACTATACTAAATGTCAAATATATATAGCAGTTTATCTCATTTACTCCCCCAAAAACCCTGTAGTAGGTGTGAGCATCACCTGGTTTACAAGAGTAGACACCTGATCCAGGTGACATGAGTAGAACCTAATTATGGATCTCAGATTTGAAACCAGGTCCTTCTGTTCAGGTGCTCCTCCCTTACCTGCTATTGTGTATTGCCCTGGCTTCCCATAACATTCTGTGCTTTCACTTCTCAATGCCTGTCACTTGGATTATGAGATACAAGGAACATAAAAATGATTGGAGGATAATGGTCATAATAATAGCCAACATGTTTTTAGTATTTACTTGTGTCAAACTGTTCTAGGAGCTTTGCGTGCATTAACTCATTCAGTTTTAACAAGTCTATAATATAGGCACTATTATTCTTTTTCCATGAATGAAGAAACTAAGGCACACAGGGATTAATTATTGAGAGAGAGAAAGAGAGAGAAAGAGAGAGACACTCAAATTAGAGGGTCTGCAGGAGTCCAAATAACCTCTCTGCCCAGAAACAAAATTTGCAATCATATCCTAGCTGCTTTGGCTCATTCTTTTACCTTACACCTGAATCATTCATCCAGGTGCTTATTTTCCCCTGGTACTGTAAGTCTGCTTGCCTCACAGGCCAATAGCTTTGCATTCTTCTCACTATCTTACTCATCCAGTTTGGCATGATAATAGGGTTCTACCTGTCTTCCTTCTTGTACACAACCTTGTAGAATAGGGATTATTCTCACTTTACAGATGAGGAAGCTGGGGAACAGAAAAGCTAAGTGAGTAGCTAATCTAGGATTTCATAGCAGACAGTCTGGCTCCAGAACCTGGCCTTTAATCCACATACTGTGAAAGCATTCCCTTCTCAAAGACCCACAGCCTTCTATCTGTACATGTGATACCATACTAAACTGTATTGTCTTATATGGATCTTATACTAAATTGTACTATCATATCATTGCTTTCTAACTTTGATTATAAAGAGTTTAAGGCATTAAGTCATCTCTTTTTCTTCCTCAGAGTGTCTATTTCAATACTGGACTTGTTATTTGCTGAATCTTAAACTGGAAATTCTGTTCCAGATTGGAATGTCTAGACAAGCAGAGCCAGAAAACTCTTGTAATTCTCAAAAGTTTTCTAAGTGCTAACTGAAGTTTCCTATTACTCTCTTCTCTCCTGGGCACTCTTCTCCATCAAGTCACCATCTTCACCTTTGCATGTTTATTCACAACTTTATTTAGCTCTACTATATTACTCCTTCTAGATGTCTTTCAGACATCTCAGCATGTTGAGACTGAACTTTTCGTCTCCTGAAACCCACTCATCCAAAAATGCACAAGTCACCAGCAATCAGCTCTTGTATGAGATGTTGATAGGGGAAATGGGGTGAGAGGTATATGGGAACACTTTGTATTACTATCTCACAAATTTTTTTGGAAATTTAAAATTATTCTGAAATGCAATGTTAAAAAATAAAAAAAAATTCTGCCTAAGTTCTCACATTAAAAATAATTATAATAAATACCAAGACTGTTAAGTGTACACATTCTACTTCATTTTCCTAATTTTGGTATGTATGACTATAATTCTCCAAATATGGAAACATTTTCTGTATATACTAAATAATAATTTTAATTTCTACCTTTAAAAATCAAAAATGCAGGGCCAGTGTTGTGGGACAGCAGATTAGGCTGCCCATGATACCCGCATCCCGTATGAGTGTGGGTTCGAGTCCTGACTGCTCCACTTCTGATCCAGCTCCCTGCTAATGTGCCTGTGAAAGCAGCAGAGGATGGCCCAAGTGCTTGGAGCCCTGATACTCCTGTAGGAGACTCAGATGGAATTCTAGGCTCCTGGCTTCAACCTGGCCTGGCTTGGGCCATTGTAGCCATTTGGAGAGTGAGCTATCAAGTAAAGATCTTTCTGTATCTCCCTCCCTCTCTATCATTCTGTCCTTCAAATGAACAAAATAAATCTTTTAAAAATAAAATATGCAATCTCCCCTTCCTCTGTACACATAGGTTTTAATGAGTCAAACAAGTAAGATAGAGTGAGATACCATTTTCCATGTAAATAAGTAACAATTACTTAAATCTTTCTGAATATAAGATCATATGTATAAAGTCATGTACACTGTACATGTACAATGTAGTGTTTATAACTATCTTATGAGGTGAATATTATTATTCCCATTTTATAGATGAATAAACCAAAGCCCAAATGACATGATCTGCCCAACTTTCACATGACTGATAAATGACGGGATAGGATTTGAACCTATATCTGCTCCCAGGGCCTATACATGCTCTTCTTGTCCTTGGTGGTCTCCAAATAAACCAAATATGAAGATAGGACAAGGAAACATGAATATGAGCCTTGCTTGCTTTTTTTTTTTACATCAGGTAAACCATAAGTTCCTTAATAGAAATAATCAACAGGTTTCCAAATTAAAATATTTATGCAAATATTAGTTATTACTATTGTGACTCATGATGACTCACATGAGGACTCTACAAATAAACATCATTCAGCTGAGAAGACTAAGACACAAAAAGATTTTTCTGGAGGTGAATAAAGCTCCATAATTTTGAGAAACAGAGAAAATCTGCAAAGGCATAGGCTTTTTTTATTTGAGCACCTACTATGTTTGAGCATATGGTAGTCTACGGTCTTATAGAAATGATACACAGTCTTGACCTTAGGAGCTCCCGGAAGTGAGAAGAATGCATAGAAGCAATAAGGCATAATGACATTGCTCAGATTCTACAATGGGAGATAGAAGAGGTTACAAATCAGCAGCCTGCCAACCAAGTGTGACCCACCACTCTGATTCCTTTGATTTCACAGTGTTTCCAGAACTATGAATCAAGTGTTAACACTTCTAAATCGAAAAAATTCACATCCAAATATACATTTGTGGTTACCTAAAGAGTTAAAAATCTAACACAAAGTCCCAATTTTTGTGTGGCCTTATCAACTGAACCCAGTACCCACTGCCTCTGAGGGTGGTATGTGAATATATTTGATTATAGAGTCCATGTTTCTCCAAACTAACAATATTTTGGGAGAGTTATCTATGACCATTTTTTACCAGGTGCTCATTTGATATAATATTTCACCTTGGTAACATTGCTCATGTGACTACAGATAAAATCATGCTCTGACATTTAAGGTGACATACATAAAAACTTTCAAGGAGTAGTTATAGCTGGAGGAAGGACTGGAGTACATAAGTTGGGGGGGGAAGGAATTTAGGGTAGATATATAGAAATGTGGAAAATAAATTGTACTGTTGACCTTCCTCTCTCTTTCCATCTCATCTTCCTCCCTGTCTCTAGATCATCTTCTTCTCCTGAGAAAAGGGGGTTCTCAGGACCCCATATCAAGCACCTTCTTCATATTGGAGTTATAATAAGTTTTGTTAGCAAAATCTCTACAGACTGATAATATTTTACTATAAAGATATATTTTAATGATCCTAATAACCATGTTACTCACATGATTTTGCTCTGCTCTAGGAAACACAGAGAATACAAATAATATATACATATTCTTCCTGACTTGCATGAGGCTAGCATCTGGTGTGAGAGACCATTTTGTACTGTGGAGGATGTGCTGACTCTAGGGTGAAACAATTTGCATTTAAATCCCACCTGTGACTCACAATTAGTGCAGTGACCTTGGGGTGTTACTCACTTATGCTTGGGTTCCAGATGTAATAATGAGAAGCATACAGTATTATTTTTCTAAGTATTTATATAGTTATTGTGGGATTACAGAAGTCCATTTAAAACATCATAAGCATCTACTGCTATTATTATTGTTTTAAGTTATTTATTTATTTCAGAGTCAGAGAGACAGGTAAGAAGAAAGAGATGAAGAGAAAGACACAGAAAGAGCTCCCAGCTGCTTGTTCATTCCCCAAACACCTACAATACTGGAGATAGGTCAAGGCAGAAGTTGGGAGGTAAGAACTCAACACATGTCTCCCACAGGGGTGGCAGAAACCAAATCACTTGAGGCATCATAACTGCCTCCCAGGGTCTGCATTAGCAAGAATCAAGAGTAAGGAGCTGGAATTGGAAATTAAGCCTGGGCATTCCAATATGAGATAAGGCATCTTAACTGCTGTGCTAAATGCCTGATCTCCAGTGACTAGTGTTATTATTCAGATAAAATAAAAAATAAATTCAAAATCACTTAATGAAGAAAACATCTAAGGCAATATAACATTAGTGGGTAAATAAATGAACATTTATGGAGCACCTACTATGTGCCAGATAATTTATATGCTTCATCTCATTTAATCCTCACAATATGACAGTGAGTTAGATTTTATTATCCCTGTTTCGGGGCGGAGAGGAAATAGCGGCAGAAAGTACTTTTCCACTTGTGGCTGTAGTAGCTTGTTTAGTAGTAGGCTTGTTTGATTATGAAGCTCAGGTCTACCCATTGTGGCCTCAGTTTGGAATAAGGACAAAGACAACTGCCAAGTGCTAAAGAGAGCTTCCAATTTAGACTCCAAAGGGCACTGTAGACTTCCTCAACATGGGGTTTAAGTAAGCCAGCTACCCATCACACTTCTGACTCAAGACAAAGAATAAAACATATAGTGACTTCCTCTTGGAGGCAGATATGAAGATGACTGGCAAATCCTTGGGAGAGAGTAAATGAATCATTCATGTAAATGAAAATATTAATGCATGCCTTGGCATGCTCATCTCTCTCTCATGCCTACTATGAAGAGGCAATGTTTGTGTCTCTATAGGACATGTGTATTTCAATATGCTTAGCATGGATTAATGCATATAGTTACTGATAAATGTCTTCAAAGATGGTCTGTATTGTATATTGAGAGAATATATGCTTTGAGGTCAATATAGATTGAAAAGCATCTCTGTCCACAAAAGGCAAGTACTGTCCACTAAAACCTTGCCATCTGACACAAATGCAAGCCCTGAGCTTTTCATTCTCTAATTTCTGAATTATCTACCTTGTCAGAAATCTCATGGAGAGAAGGCAAATCGTTATGCTCTTTTGGACAAGTGTAGAACTTAAAGGAAGGGGACAATTAGTTCTAAGGAGGCTGGTATGTTCCTGGCTCTATTAAATGCATTCATGTGAATTTATTTAACCTTCCACAATTAAATGTGAATCACAAGAGGAGGCTATTTGTCTCTTTTATTTTGCCCTGTATTCCCAGAATAGTTGTTGTCACATAAGAGGTGCTTGTTTTGGCTACTATATGTTGTTCTCTATATCATTTCTTCATCCTCCCTATGCATTCCAATGTATTTATTATAGGGAACAAAATGGGGAGGGCAGGTTGAGAACCATATTCCCCGAATGTCTTGTCAGTAGAGCTGCAGTGTAGATTCTCCCAACCAGAGTAACCTCCACACATCTGGGGATAGAGAGGGGCACCAGCAGACTGGCACAGGATTTTGTACTTTTCATCACTGCTACAGTTTCCTCAGACTCCACAGATCACTGTTGGATATTAGCTTCTGGGCTGCAAAAAAGTATGGCTCAGGCAATACCTTCCTGAAATTTCCTGATTCAGGTGGAGTTCTCCCACCATTAACTATCACCTCTTTGCACTATTACCTTGAATTACATCCCTTTCTGTTTAAATATCAAAGGTATTGTCTGTTTCCCTGGGTAATTTAATTTTCAAAAAATACTAGGATACTTTAAAAAGCTTGTGGAAAGGGGAATTAAAAGCTAAGTTTATTTTAGTGTGAAAATTTTTGAAAGCCATGCATAGTTTTTCATAATACTAATTTTCCATGAAATGTTTGACATGCCCTTTTATTTGTTAAACAACTGAGTGAATAAACAATCCATTCAGTGGGCATTATTTTCCCAACCTCACAGTTGCAGAATTGAGGCTACTGGCAATGAAGTACTTTAAGATTACATGGCCAACTATTAAATGTCAGGGCTGAGGCTTAAGCCCTCATCTGTCTGATGCCAATATGTGCTTTTGCTTTTTTTCCAGGCACTGCTCTAGAGGACATAACACACTACACTGCTGCCAAAATCTTATCTGAGAGGATAAGAGCTGTTGTTTTCACTGTTCCTCATGCCACTGCCTTGCCTGCAAATTGGAAAGGTACATTAATTCTCAAGACAAGCTGTTTATTAAATATGTGTTTAACCCAGTGAGTTACCCTGTTTAAAATGTAGATTATATCTGCAATGCTTGAAGATATAATGTATGTATGGTATACAGTAGAAACTTGCACAGAATAAATTGAGTGACCAAATGGATCAAAGTTTACTGGTTTTGCTTGGCTAGAAATTCATTGGCAGATTGTAGGCTCTGACTCAAGAGTCATTTAGGCTATGAACCACTTGTAGCTTGTTAATAACATTAACTAACTTCAATGTCTGGATCCTGCCCACTGTTCAGCACAATAACAGGACCTACCTACTAGGTACTGATGTAAGCTGTTGATCTTTCTTGATAAACTTGAGTTGTCAAAGACATCGTAGTTCTAAAATAGACAAGAACCCATCCCTCCTTTCCAAGTGATAGGCACTGAAAACTAGTAACCTCCTTCCATTGTAATAAAGTAGAAAGAGCACCAGCACCAAATTTGGAACCAACCACTTACCAGACTTGAAATCAAGGGAAAGCTGTTTCTGTGACCTCAGTGGTCTCACTTCTATAATGGTGGTGGGAATAACTCTCTTCTAGCACTTACTGTGAAGATGAACTATTGTAGACAGAAAGCAGCTAGCATAGCATCTGGACTGTGGTATGGGTTCAGTGAACAAAAACAGAACTGCCATCATTAACAATGAGTAAGGGTTTGTTGATACATATATAGTTGTCATCCTGCAGACCAGTCCACATTAGTCAGCAAGACTCTGCAGTCCCAAACAGACAGCAGTGGTGTGGAGAAAGAAATAAAAGCATGTTTTCCATACTCATAATTATACTACTTACCGAAGGTATGCAATGGCAAGAATCAAATGACTGTGTTTTATATCTTTTGGAGCCTTCACAACGCCTGATGCCTTTGTGGAGAGGAGTGGGAATGGTTGGCAGAGAGTGGGTAGAACAGAATTGTCATATTTCACTTTCCTTTAAGATGAGAGCCAAGATTAGACTCACTAGAAGAATCTGGGGGTGGGCAGGTAAAGCTGAATGCCTTTTGCATGCCAGAGGTTAAAGCTGCAGGAATGAGCAAGGTCATGAATAGTTTGGGATTAAATGAGGGAAAACCAAACCACATCTGACCTCAGAAAACTCACAGTACTAGTCACTAGCTTAGCGCTTGGCATGCAGGAGAGGCTCAATGAATTTCTTTTTAAATTAATATATCAGGCTGAAGAGTATATCATCCTTCCTCAAAATGTCTGTGTTCCTCACTTTCTTTATGGTTTGTGAAAAGGTAACTGAAGTGGGTGTACTTCCTGAAGAATCTGAATCTTTTAGTCTGGAAAGGTCCTCTTCTGAAAACCTATCAAGCCGGAGCTAACATTTATGTATTATTTATACAAATCCTACCAGGCACTGTTTTCCCATCCTACTTCCGTATGTTAAACCCCACCCAGACTTTGAGAGCACATGTGTTTTGCATGGCTGAAAATTCCTCATTGTCCAGCAGGGTGCTTGGCTACAGCAAATTTTCAATAAACAGAGATTTAACAGTTGATTAACTAATTAGTTTTATTTTTAAAATTTATTTATTTTTTAATTTGTATGTATCTCATAAACACATTATTATATACACAATAATTTTTCCCACTGTACCTGCTCTCCCACCAATTCTCCACACCCTTCCTGCTCCCTCTCCTGTTTTATCCGAGAAAGCAAAATAAAGAAAGAAGAAGAAAAAAGAATGAATGGAGTAAAGAAAACTAAGAGAAGTGTTCCTCAACAGTCTATGCAAAGACTAATCAATTAGTTTCAAACTACTGTCAGAGAATGAAGAAATAAATGGAAGGCTTTGGAAACTTATGAGTGTGGAAAAATGAAGTGTGTGCATGTAAGAAAGGACTAGTGCTCAGCCTGAAAAAGAGAAGACTTAAGAAACCAGAGGGGCCAGCACTGTGGCATAGCGGGTAAAGCAGCTGCCTACAGTGCCGGCATCCCATATGGGCGCCAGTTCAAGTCCCGGCTGCTCCACTTCCCATCCAACTCTTTGCTACGGCCTGGGAAAGCAGTGGAAGATGGCCCAAATCCTTGGGCCCCTGCACCCATGTGGGAGACCCAGAAGCTCCTAGCTCCTGGATTTGGATTAGCTTGGCCATTTGGGGAGTGAACCAGCAGATGGACAAGCGTGCTCTCTCTCTCTCTCTCTGTGTCTCTTTAACTGTCTTTCAAATAAATAATAAATCTTTTAAAAAAAGAGAAATAAACCAGAAAGTGGGTGCTGCCCTATCAATATAAGTAGAACTGGAGTGTGAAAGAGGGCCATGCATGGAGGGGGGACTGATTATATTGGTTCTAGGAGAGAAGAAATGAGCTCTCCTTCATTCCTCAACCATGTGTGGAGATACAACAGTGAGGCACTGGTTCCAAGCATTAACATTACGTTGAAGGAGTAAAACAAACAAACAAACAAATATAGTACCACAGCCTAGAGCAAAGTTGAGTACATGCTGGAGGTACTTTTTTTTTAAAGATTAAAAATTAGATTAGAGGCTGGCATTGTGGCACAGTGTGTCAAGCTGCTGCTTGCGATGCTGCCATCCCATATCAAAGTGCCAGTTGGAGTCCTAGCTGCTCTGCTGTGCTTCTGATCCAGCTCTGTGCTCATGCACCTGGGAAGGCAGTGGATGGGAAAAACTTGGTCCCTTCCTACCCATGTGGGAGACCTGGATGGAGTCCTTGGCTCCTGCTGGATTTGCAGCCACTGGGAAATGAACCAGCTGATGGAAACATTCTCTCTCTCTTTCTCTCTCCCTCCCCACCTCCCTTTCAAATAAGTAAAACAAATCTTTTTAAAAAGATCAAATTATTTCTTGGGTGCTCACTCTGCCAAGGATAACCTGAGGAATTGTGATTCAGAAGCTAAAAAAGCTTAAAGGAAGAGATGAGATAGAGAATTTCAAGACAATATAGTTTAGGGGCCGGTGCAGTAGCTTCTTGGGTAAAGCCGCCGCCTGCAGCATTGGCATCCCATATGGGTGCCGGTTTGAGTCCTGGCTGCTCCACTTCCAATCCAGCTCTCTGCTATGGACTGGGAAAGCAGTAGGAGATAGCCCAAGTGCCTGAGCCCCCTGCACCCATATGGGAGACCTGGAAAAGACTCCTGGTTCCTGGCTTCGGATTGGCGCAGCTGTGACCTTTGCGTTCAATTGGGGAGTGAACCAGCAAATGGAAGAACTCTCTGTTAGTAAAATGGTGCAGTCTTATCTATGGCTCAATCTACACTCTGACACCATCCTAGCTCTAGCCTCTGCCACCATTGCTGGATGACAGGTGACCACATGGCCCAACCACAGGTGTCAGCTCCACCCCTACCCTAATGGGATTCGCTACTCCTATTTCCCTGCCCACCTCCCACCAAAGGTTTAAGAGGACCTGTTCCTGAAATTGTGGCTCTTTCTCGCTCTCTTGCTCTCTCTCTTGTGCTCTCCTCTTTCTTTTATTCTTTGTCTGTTTGGTTTCCCCACCAATAAACCTTTCCCTTACTCTGGTATTTGGTGTGTTTTGTGGTGGCCTTACACTCTCTCTCTGCCACATCTCTCTGTGTAACTCTGACATTCAAATAAATAAATAAATAAATGTTTTTTTTTTTTAAAAAAGACAAAATAGTTTACTTTTATCTTATAAAAGCTTATCTTTTTATCTTTGCAAATGTAGTTATTATTTGAGATACAATAATACATACTCAAACTATTATGCCTGCTAAATAAAAGAAAGGTAGACTGGCCATGCTTGTTATTAACCATCAGGCAGCTTGTCTAGAAGAAAATGAACAATCTCTACTGCACTTTTGGAAGTCTCTGGATGTTTTTCAGGGTGCATTACCATAGGAATGTGTGGTTGGTGGTCTCTGTCAGGTATAGAGGTTCAGGAGTCAAAAAGACAAGGAAGTGACACACAAACAGGGGTCCATGGAAGTTGGAAGACAGTGGAGGATTGACTGTCACATCCCACTAGGATTTTTCTCAGGACCTTCTCCAAACTGACACATTACCTCTCCCATGATTTTTATACATATTTACATCAAGTTATCAGCATTATGCTTTTACTAGCACTATTTTTAATAAACTTCCTTTCAATTTTCTGCCTATGAGAACTATGTCTACTGATTGCAGATATATTTTTATAATTACTCATCTTCTTAAAAGGCCTCCTATTTGAATGTTATTCTATTTGTTGTTCTAATCACTTAAAACTAACAATAGTTTAATTCCACTTTTTAAAATAAAGATTCCAGACTTTTGCTCCCCAAGTTGTCACCTCTAGAAAGAACTTAATAATAACTATTTAGTAATACGATCCCTGAACTGAGCAAATATACTTCCATGGGTTGAAAAGAACTGATACCCAAGAAAGAGTTCATGATTTGCCCATAGTCACGCAGCAATTAAGCAGAAGGAGTACAGTTCAAAGCCAATACTCCAGTCTTCTATGCCAGTTCCCATTCAACTTCTAAACAGAGAAAAGTGCAGCCTCTTTAATTCTCTTTCTAAAAAGATCTTATACAACACAATATTTTCATTGCAGCCCTGTCTGCCTACAGTTAATAATTTTCCAAACCCACACATACAATGAAACCAGCATAGGCAAACTGGAATGGGTCACTCTTTTAATATTTCCTTAAGCACATCTGCATTTACATAATTAAAGTGGCCTGTGTTTGTAGGTCTAAGCTAAGACAATGATATTCAGAGAAAATATGAATAAAGCAGGTTTGTTTTAAGAAAGAATTTCTTGGAATAAGCTTTTGTCTCTTGTCTACACTGAAGTTTAAATAACCTTTTCTCAATATACCCAATGAGTTTTCAAGTGCAGTTTTCATTCATTTGCCCTTTGAAATGAAATCACTGTCATTTAAAGGAGATAAGCAAACTCTGTTCCACCTATGCTTGTTGCAGCTGTCTAGACATATGACATTCAGACTGATGTGCACTGCTGGATGGTGGTGG